TGAAGTTCTGAACAGCCTTCCTAGGGCAGCAGTGGGGGCAAAAAACCTTACTGGCCTCAAGACTGAGCTTGAGACATTTATGGTGGGGATGGTATGATGAGATGGTACAATGGCATGTAGCTGATCTGTGACTGCTTGTAGAAAGTATCCCTAATCGCTGGTGATGGGACCCTATATACGGAGGGCTCTGAGTTACTATAGAGGATTCTTTCCCAGGTGTCTGGCTGTTGGGTCTTGCTAAAATGCTCAGGGTACAACTAATTGCCATATTTGGGGTTGGGAAGGAATTTTCCTCCAGGTCAGATTGATTGAGACCGTGGGGGTGGGGGTTGCCTTCCTGTGCAGCATGGGGCAGGGATCATTTGCAGGTTTAAACTAGTGTAAATGGTTTATTCTCTGCACCTTGAAGTCTTTAAATCATGTTTTGAGGACATGAGTAACTCAGCCAGAGGTTATTAGTCTCTTAAGGAGTGGGTGGGTAAAGTTCTATGGCTTGCAATGTTCAGGAGGTCAGTCGACTGGATGATCATGATGGTCCCTTCTGGCCTAAAAGTGTCTGAGTCTATATGGAAAATAATACCAGCACATTCTGAAACAGTTGTTCTGCAAACTCTGTAGCATGAACAGTGCATGAGGTGTGGTATAAAGGATTTCCTGTCATTCAGTTGGCATGTAAGCTGTTGCTGATAATGGTAAATGTAATTTGTGGCTGTGGTGCCTGCATCTACAAATCAGTGTACACTCAGACTGATTCTTTAACGCTGCCAATTAGTCATAGTGAATATCCCTAGAATCTCCATTACAGTTATCGAGAGTACATTTTTGAAACAGCCCTTGGCTTTCTTTCAAGTCCTCTGAGTACCTTTCCTGGATGTGTGGAATATGTTACAGAGCTTTCTGAGAGAATTCTGCCCAGATGAGCTGAGCTTGTGCTATTGCTCTCTTTACTGTCTCAACTCTTCTCCCCCCAGGTGCGGACGTACAAGGGTTTAATGGACTGTGCTGGGCAAATTGTGCGAGAGGAGGGGCCTGTTGGATTGTTTAAGGGTCTCTCCCCCAGCTTGCTGAAGGCTGCTCTCTCTACTGGCTTCACCTTCTTCTGGTATGAGTTCTTCTGCAACCTGCTGTATGCCCTGAAGGACACTGGCAGCACTAAGGGGTAGGAGGGCTGAAGAGGCAGGACTCATCAGCTGCAGTTTATTCTGTGGAGGAGTAAGACTAGTGGCCTCATTGTCACATGGAGTGGGGTGGGGAATGGCTCCTCCCTGCCAGGGCTCTGAAAACACGTGTCCACTAGCTTTGGAGGAAAGATCTGTTTGCAACAAAACCAAAGGAACAGGTGACTGCGGCTTCTGTTGAGGACACTGAGCCCTGGGGTACACTGAGCATCTTCCATCATATCTCCTATAGTATCAGCATTCATTTCGGGAGAAGGGGTTTTATAAAAACCTAATGCTACTACCCGTCTGGCAACATGCTCTGAAGTGGCATCTGATCAAATATATGAAATCCTTCAAGCACAGGGACCCATCTGACTTTGCTAGTGCCACTCGACTAGTGTCTAATGATGCCACATCTTTAAAGATTCAGCCCTCTGCTTAGGGCCTATCTGTTGGCTGCATATTCTCATCTCCCTGCTGTACAGGTAACCCCTTCCTTATTCTGCATAGACACCTGTCTTCTCTTTGCCATTGACATTTACTAGCTCCACATCCTGAGCCACTTTAAACATAGCGTCATCTAGCAATGTTTATGCCAACCCTGATTTGCTTTCTCACTACAAGTGGCAAGCTTACTTTTGTTTTACAAGTGTCCCTTATTTTGCCTCTGAGTTCTGCTGTGGGCCTCTTAGGGTTCTACTTTGCTAGTGTAATGCTCTTACAAACAGGTCTGTAGGTCTAATGCTGTTTGCTGTCAGGAAGGTCTCTCAATGCACAAAACCTATTCTTGCTTTGCACTGACATGTTGGGGCTCTGCTTTGCTATTAGATTGTCATGATTAAACAGATGCTATAAAGATTTTTTTTTAACCTACCTTAAAATAATAAAGATAGTCCTGTGGAAACTAGTGACTCTTTTGTCATCAGAGAGCCAAGGAATTGCTGAGCATCTGGTGCATTTAGGAGATTAATTCTTTGAATCTGTTGCTGAGGCTTGAGAGAGACCTGAGAATTGCCAGATAGACTGAAAGAAATGACATAGTTGCTCTGTGCAGGGCATTGGAGCAGATCTTCCTCCCTGGAAATGTTTCCAAACCTTTTCTATTGTGGGTTAAATGATCTAAACCTGTCACAGTCCCTTGTCGGGACTGAAGGGCAAAGAAGCTTGAGGAGTTCGGAGTTGTTTATGTATAGGTTTGTTTTTGTTTTTAATTTTTCTGAAGCAGCCTGGTGAGCCTCTATTTGCACTAGGAGGGAATGAATGAGCAGAGAGCCTCCCCACTGATCATGGTTTGTTGCACACTGGGCTGTTGATGATACATGTGATGGGTCTATATAATATGATCATTTAGCTGGTGGGGAAGGGATTTAGTGGCCTCTGTAATAGAATGAAAAGACAAACCATGATAGACAGTCATTTCATCTCCCATCCTTGATGTCTGTGTCTTTAAAGTATTTCTAATGTGCCAATCACTAGTCTCTAAACATGAGTCACATCATAAGGAGGGGAAGTGGCTAAAAACAAGAGCATTGATTCCCCTTACGTAAAGGAGAGAGATACTAGTTTAATACAAAGAATTAGCAAGATGGGTCTTATTTTGCTCCTGTTGAGTTTTGCAGGATCAGTACGTCGGGGTTGTATTTCCTAGAATCAGATAAATTAAGTGATGGAAAAGATTCATTAGGTCACCTTGTTCCTCCCACTTGCAAGTGCAGGGTTGTTATTTTTGACTGTATACCTGACTTCAGTCCAGTTTCCAGTGACTCAAATCAATAGGGCTTGCACCACTTCCCTCGTGAGACTGTGCCCCAGTCTAACTGGTGGCGATTGTTGGAATTTTCTTCTAATGTAATCCTATCAGTGAGGATTTGCTTTGCCTGAAATTCACCCCACAAGCTGCTCAGCAATTGCATTTGTTTTTATCCTAGTGCCTTTTATCATCTGGGTAAAGCAAAGCACTTTACTAAGCAAAGTACAACATACTAATATTACAGTAGCTGTAATGGAATCCACAACAGTTGCCGCTTAGCCTTGGCCAGTAGATCCTCTATGCGCAAATACTGCAATGAACACTTTCCAATAGCATGTGTATTATTTCCAATAGCACTGATTACCTGAACTCATGTACAGTAACATTCATCTCTCAGGATGTTTACACAGAGCCGTATTAGGTGCTTCAGTGAGGAAAAACAAATGTTCTAGGATTGGTTACTGAAGTGAGTCATTTTCCCTTTTGATTTTAAGCCTCCATTGTTAATGCAGAGCCTTAATCCTCTGCAGCATTTCTAGCAAACATCTGAATGGACCTTTTGCAAATGCAGTAGATTTAAGGCTTCTGACCAGCTGTGTTTTTTCCACAATATATGTTTAACGTGTGCCTGTCTCTAAAGAGAGGAAAGAAAACATTAAATATTTATTATGTTCCTGTCTGGCTTTTCCTTTCATCTCTTTTGAAGCACTCAAACCATGTATATGATGGGGTGATGCAGTTGGATCATATTGTACAAACACCCTCTAACAAGGGCCTGATCTTGCTCCTGTTGCCTGCAGTGAGATCAAGGCTCATGAATTATACTGCAGATGCAACCATATTTTTTATTAGAATTCCAAAGTTCCTGGGCTTGGTCACTAGAGGGTACCGTTGCCCCAACCGCAAAGCAGGAGATGGCTTCAGTGCTTAGATATCCATTACTGCACAATAACTAGTGATTGTCCAAATGGATTTGCACAAGCTTGATCGTTCCACGGTGTGAGAATTAAAGAAGCAGATGTTTGACCTACTTCGCCAATCTGTGGTAGACAAGTTCAGACTTATATGTATCTGTAACACAGTGTTGCAGAATGTTATCAACAGCTGCTAATTCTTCATTCACTAAAGCTGCTTTCTAGCTTCAAGAGTATGCTTTGTTCTACTTTTTATAAATATGCTAATGCTAAGGAGTAATGACCAGCCCTCATCACACATTAAGCACTTGGTAACTTTGGAGCATAAAGACAGGTTTCAGAGTAACAGCCGTGTTAGTCTGTATTCGCAAAAAGAAAAGGAGTACTTGTGGCACCTTAGAGACTAACCAATTTATTTGAGCATGAGCTTTCGTGAGCTACAGCTCACTTCATCGGATGCATACCGTGGAAACTGCAGCAGACTTTATATACACACAGAGATCATGAAACAATACCTCCTCCCACCCCACTGTCCTGCTGGTAATAGCTTATCTAAAGTGATCATCAGTGGCCCAACTTGATGATCACTTTAGATAAGCTATTACCAGCAGGACAGTGGGGTGGGAGGAGGTATTGTTTCATGATCTCTGTGTGTATATAAAGTCTGCTGCAGTTTCCACGGTATGCATCCGATGAAGTGAGCTGTAGCTCACGAAAGCTCATGCTCAAATAAATTGGTTAGTCTCTAAGGTGCTACAAGTACTCCTTTTCTTTTTGGAGCATAAAGTGTGTTCTACAGCACCTGCTCTTTTGAGACCTTGTTAAAGCGTGAGCTGGCATATTCTCTCCCCCCCCCCCATTTATTTATTTTTTTTAAAGCTCATATATTTTCCCCATTCTTAAATTCTTCAAACGTTTTTTCCTACCTTGCAAGTAAAACCCCTAGTGCCAAGACCTGAGCAGTTCTGCTCCAACATACTCATCAGGTTGCCTATCTTAGAGAGGGAAGGAAAAATAGAAGAGTAAATAGATTTCAGTTTCAAGCTTCTGAAGTTCGCTTATAAACTGTGAAGGAAAATACGAAAGCAAGAATAAGAGGTTCAGCTCTTTGTTTATGAGCAAACCCCAGACTTCCAAGCTAACAGAGGAGAATGTGAAGCCATGGACTACTACTGTACAAAAGGAATAGCCTGAAAAGAGGAAAAGTAACCGTCAGCTTCAAGTACATGAACTGATCTGAAAGTTACAACTGTGTGGTGTCTGCTTGGAGGCACATGAGGCCTGTTGGATATAGGCATGCCCAGTTCCCAGTAAGTAGTTTTTCATGTTTCATTAATCACCATAACCACTAGTGAAAATCGTGCACCCCGTCTCCCTGTGCTGGTAGTGCCAATAGAGGCCAAAGGTTGAATGGACCATGGAGTGGGAAGGACTCACATGCCTGGAAAGTAGATCCCTACAGGGCAGGAGTGGGGCACGTTTGCAGGATAGTGTGGGGAATCTGCACTGCAGCTTCTTTTGCTGTATTGTATCTGTCCTGCGTTTAAACAGAGGGATGTAGCCTTTCGCTAGGGCTAAGTTCATAGAAAAGTCAAAAGATTGTATGGTCAAAACCGAGTATTAAAATACAGCTATGGACGAAGAGATCTTCTGACTGGGAGACAACAGTCTGAGTCAGAGGGAAACGGGCACACTCTGACCCTCACTCCCCCAAGTCGTAGGATGGTGAAAGAGAGCAGGGAGTTGCAAGGAAAGAGATGGATAGGTGAATGCAGAAGGTTGCGTAAATCCTGGTTCTTCCAGGCGGTGGCGCTGCTGTTTCAGCACTCCCAAGTTCCTCCTCCCCTTGGCTCTGGCTGCTAGGAAATGACCTAAGAGGAAACCCGCGGGTTTGCAATGGAAAGAATCCGTCTGGTGGTAATCACTGACCCCAAAGAAGCTGAAAAGTAAGAGCAGCAGTTGAGAGTTGCCGCCTGATTGTGCCGCCTGGGGTCTCTCAGGGCGCTTTCCTGGTGGAGGGGCGAATGTACGAAGGATGCCTATCTTGCATTTGCATTCCATGCTTGAACTGCTGCCTTTCCTGCTTCTGCTGCTGCTGTTCTTGGCGCTGGGTTTTTTCCTGATCTATCTCCAAAAACCCGAACCTGAAAGCAAGAAGAATTAGGGGTAGGGGCGGTTCTTCTCTAATGCAAAGAAGGCACCAAAGATGCGAGCGCTCGAGTCCTGAAAAAAACTCTCTGGTAGAGTGAAGAGAAAAGCTGGAGCAGGTTGGTGATATTTGCAAATCTGTCTGGGCTGGGCTGCTCAGAAAAAACTTTTGCTTCTTTTGGGTGGAGTAGCAATTATTTTTCAAGCCGGGACATTTCTCTACTGACTTTCTCGACTGCTGTCCTGCTTTTAAAGCAAACCAAACACCTGATTCCTTGATCCCGTTCTAGGGTTTTTCAGTAAATTTTTTGTTCGTTGTTTTTTCCTCATCTAGGGAGAGAGTTTGTAATTTTAATGGTGGCCATAATTTGAGGCAATTTTTCTGGAGTTTTTGAGGCCTAAAATCACTTTTTTCTCTTAACCAGCTATCCTAGATAGATAAATTCCTAAAAACAGGTGATAGGGCAGGCACTTTCATAATTGATTTATGCTTGAAATTTACATTGATATCCTGATTTCCCCCCCTCCTGCTGACAAACAATGGGAAAGTGTTCCCCTGCTGTAAATTAATATATAGGTGGCTGTTTAGGTACCATGGTGATGGGGTTCCTTCTTAAAAGGTAAATGGATAGAGAGACATGCCCCTAAAATTGTGTTATGAAGTAAATCAACCCACATCAAGTTCTGGGTATTTAACCCCTTCTCTCAGGGTGGACCTTCAACCCCACCACCATTATCACCAGCCACACCCACACACATTATAGATAACCCAGTCCTGGCAAGGGGAAAATCTTGACCCCCTGTTCTATCTTTTATTCATGGCTCTCGTTACCAAAGTATCAAAACGCCTCACAATTTTAATCCTCAGCACCCCTATGAGGCAGGACAGTGCTGTTATCCCCATTTTACAGTTGGGAACTGAGGCACAGAGAAACTGTGACTTGCCTGAGGTCACACAGGGAGCCTGTAGTAGAGCAGGGAGTTGAACCCAGGTCTCCCAAGTCCCAGGCTAGCATCCAAATCACTGGGACTGTCCTTCCTCTCTTTTGTAGTGGTTTTAGTTGGAATCGGAGATTTTAGTGTTGGGAGAGCCCTGTTATGCTGCCCTACTGTTTTTCCTGCCCACATGTCAGGAGATGAGTCCCAAGATTTGGGGAGGGTATTTATAGTCAGTCACTTGAGTGAGGGAACCTCAATCCTGTTGCTCACTCTTACTGTTTGTATGGAGCCTTCTCTGAGCTCTAATGTGGGGAGGCTGGTATTGGACTGACAGGACATAGTTGGGAGTAGTGGAGGTGGGACTCCCACAGCAGTGTTATAAAATATACCAAGGAACCAGCAGTAAACTGAGTTGCTTGGGACAGTTTCAAATGTACCAAGTCCTGTGTTTTATCCTGCTCCTCCCCAGCAGCCATGTAATGACTCTTCTGTGGTGGATAAAGGATCTTCAAGGACAGATGAAACATGTTACTGGTGGGATCACTTGTTATCATCTTAAATTGAGTTATTTTCTCCTGGGCTTCTGAGGATCTCTGATCCAGGCCTGGGAAGCTCCGTGTTTGGGTGTGGAAGGTAGGCAGGAGCTCATCCCCTCCCCACCTCCCTGTGGCAGTATTAAATCTATGAAGGTGCATTGTGCAGAGTGATGTGCTTCTAGCCAGGGCAGCAGCCCACATGCTGGGGTTGGTAAGTGGCTTCACTCTGCACTCAGCTGGCAGCAGCAGGCAGCTCATCCCCATTTGGAGGGGTGAGACCCTCCTATTCTCCAGAAACCTGAACAGGCTCAGATGAAGCTGAGTGCTTGCACAGTTAGTAAGAGTGCTGGGCCTTCTCTCCAGCCAACCCGCTTGACTTCTGGGTGCTCTCACCACACATCCTCTGAAACACTCTCATCCTCTTCTTTCTGGAGAATGAGCAGCAACTGTGCTCTGGCCCAGATGTCTGTGGTAGGAGACAGAGGGAGAGAGGACCAAGAGAGGAGAAATGTGACTGAGTCTTTAGAGGATTTAATAAAAGAAGGGATGTCTCAAGCTGTGGCCTGAAATTCCTGAGAGGCCAATGGGGGTCACAGGCGCTGGCTTCTAATTTTCCCTGGGGGTGCTCAACCCCTGCTCAGCCCCAGACCCTGCCCTTCTCCTAAACCCCCACCCTGCGTCTTCCTGCCCCCGCTCTGGCCCCACCTATTCCCGCCCCCACTCCACCTCACCTATTCCCTGTCCCATTCTGCCCCTTCCCCCGAGAGCACCCCATCCCCGCTCCCCCTCCCTCCCAGCGTCTCCTGCATGCTACTGAACAGCTGTTCTGCAGTATGCAGGAGGCACCGGGAGGGAGGGGGAGCAGTTGATCGGCGGGCGGGGGAGCCTGGCTGGCGGTGGGTGCAAAGCACCCGCTAATTTTTTCCATGGGTGCTCCAGCCTTAGAGCATCCGTGTAGTCAGCACCTATGATGGGGGTGTTTGGTTGTCAATCAATAGAAGCTCCATTCTTCATATCCACAGTGTATGTGTCTGCCCCAGCCTCTGTGTTCTGTTCCTGCCCATCTGCATTGCACAAGGAACTGGAGTCAGGCTGTGTGGCTGGCCACTACTGAACTGACTGCCAAATGCAGAAGTTAACAAGGGGGAGGGGTATTGGGACCAGGTGGCAGATACTTGAATGCAGTCATAGATTTTAAGGCCAGAGGGGACCATTACGATCAGTGGGTCTCAACTTTTTTTTACTGGTGACCCCTTTCATATCACAAGCCTCTGAGTGCAACCCCCCCACAATAAATTAAACACACTTTTTAGTATATTTAACACCATTATAAATGCTGGAGGCAAGTGGGGTTTGGGGTGGAGGTTGGCAGCTCGCGACCCCACCATGTAATGACCTCATGACCCCCTGAGGGGTCCTGACCCTCAGTTTGAGAACCCCTGATCTAGTCTGACCCCCTGCGTAGCCAGAGGCCAGACACACTCATCCACTGATTCCTGCATAGAGCCCATATGTCAGAGGTTTTCATGTTGGGGGGGCGCACGGAGGAACGTTCGGGGGTGCTAGTGGTGATGCCAAGTGCCTCAGGCTTTGGCTGTGGGTGGTGGGGCTTGGGGAGAGAGTGCCACCTCCAAACCCGACTTATCTTAGTGGGCCACCCAGCCTGTGAGTCAGTGTCAACACCTCCGTGCCCAGCAATGGCTCCGCCCCAAAAGACCATTGCACACACCTTCCTCCACCTTGAAAATCTGAGGGGGGGAGGTTCAGGTATTGGGGAGTGCAACCAAAAATTGTAACTCAAACTGGGGGCTCAGCTCAAAAAGTTTGACAACTGGTGCCATATGTTGTGGCTGAGCTAGGCAATCTTGTTTTTAGAAAGATGCCCAATCTTGATTTAAAGACTTGGGTGTTGTATTCCCTGCTCCCCTTTGCTCCGTGATCTTCACTGCACTGAGAGTCATTGATGCTGCAGTGTCCCTTGGAATAGAGACATGATGGGACTCGGGAGTAGTGAACACAACTGGGATTTGTTGTTTGTTACGCTGAGCATTCATGGCTGGTCTTCACAGGCCCTTTTCTCCCCAAACATCCCACCAGTGCTAACCACAGTAGGATCATTTGATAGACACAGCACTGGCATTTTTACTATCAGGCTATCTGCATTTGCTTTGAGCAGGGTTAGTTGATGCAGTGGTAAAAAGGCCAGCAGCTATGGGCTCTCTACACTAAGGTGACCACTGGCCGGGAGCTGTTCCTGTGTTAGCAATGGTGGGATGCTTCAGGGGAAAAAGGCTAGGGGAGAACCAGATCCTGTAGCCTCCTAGCGCTCTAGCTTGCAGCCTAAGGTGGAGGTGCTGCACAGTGTTACCACGCAGGGTGTGTCAAAATGCCAGGCCAGACTCAGCAATCGGAAAGTGGACTACCACTACTGCTTACCCTACCAGCCATTCATGAAGCTCTGCCTGATAGAATGACATCACATCCTCATTAGGAAAGAGAAGGTTAATCAAGAATGCACACAGAGCTCTGTGTGAGTCATCATCATTGCTGAATCTCAACATCTGTGTCTGCTCTCTGTGAGAGATGGCTGCCAAGATAGGCAAAGTATTCTACATTTTCCAGTTCTTCTTTTTCAATGTAGATCTTCCTTGCTGGCTGGTGGAGAACTTTTGTTTTGCTGATGTTTAGAGTTAGTCCTAGGCTTTTGTAAGCTTCAGAGAAGCAATTCAGGGCTGTTTGTAGATCCTCCTTTGAGTGTGCAACTACAGCACAATCATGTGCGTACAGAAGTTCGGTTATTGTTGACGATATTACTTTAGTTCTGGCATGGAGACGATTTAGTTGAGAATACACACAGAGATCTGAGTAAGTACATGGTATAAAACCAAAGAGGAGTTTACCTGGAAGAGACACCTTGTGGACAGGGAGCAAGAGATTGTAACTTGTGTGAATTTCCGTAACTTAGAACCAGAGAATGTTTGCTAATTAAACATTGCTGTAAAACCAAAAGGGACCTCCCATCTCCTTACAAATGCATTAGGGGGTATAAACTATATCTAAACTCAAGTCTCTAGGCAGGCAACGTGTTTGACTACAGGGAGAGTGTTCTGCTGTCCGGAATATAGTCAGACACAGAGCTGTGAGAGAGCTAGAAGGTCTCTGCTGTGTTTGAAAACAGGAAACTTGCAATGACTGGGTCTGATTCTGTGCTGTGCTTTGGGTACAGCCGAGCGGGGAGCAAAGGTGGCTTTACCCCACCTTTGCACTCTCCAGTTTCTGGGCTGCTCCAGGAACCAAAATGGCGCTTGTGTCAGTTAGAGCATTGAGGGGTTGCTCTAACTTACAGCAGCCTGTCCCAAGCTGCTTTTGGGCTGCAGGGCTATACCCTCTTACTTCTGGCACACCTCTTATATAGGCCTTCATCTCGCTAATCCCTGATATCTGCTTCCTGGGCAGTTTGCACAGTGACTGTGGAATTCTGATGAGCTGGCAAAACCCACTGAATGCTCCACTTGGACATTTGCCCTCCCAGTGTTTGTGACACAGGCCACTGCAGCCCTGCAGTAAACCTTTGGTGCCGCACCGACCAGTGGCTGGTCTCACATTAGGTAAGACTGGATGCGTATGTGAAATGACTACTCCCCCAAAATAACTAAGCAGAAGAAAACCCAGGAGTTTTTAGGATCATTTCGTACAAGGGAGAATACTGCGAGCTCTAAAGGAGACTAGAGACTTAATAATGTTGTTGGCTGTAGAATTTGCATGCTATCTCTGTTTGCCTCAGTGAGCAAGATTCATCTCTGGCACAGCCCCTCTGAAGTCGATGTTACTGTGTGAAAGCAGCTCTGCTATTAACTGACAGTGCAGGAGGGAGGTGGACTGGATGATCATCCGTATGTTTTGAATCTTTCTTATGTCTTTGAGCAAAATCAGCTGAATTGTGGGTTCAAAGCCACATGCGAGCAAATGAATCAGCAGATCCATGCCGTGCTCTTGTGTGCATTTCCCTGTGACAGGCTCAGGCTGTTACTCCCTTTAAAATAACATATTTTTGTTGCCTCTGGGTGGGCTGTTTGTTTTTGAAGTTGCAGCTCAACAGTTTAAATAGGTTATTATATCAGAAAATATATGGTCTACCGAAGAGAGCCCACTGGCCCAAAACCCCTTGTGAAAGTGTGGCAGACAGAAGGGATTATAAAAAATAGTAGTGATGGTTTCCCAGGATTTGGGGGGGTGCAGTTTGGAAAAATCTTACAACCCCAAAATAACTGAGTGCTCTTTACATTAGTGAATTGGTTAAACTATACAGTACTCCAGCGTTTCCCCAAATGGCAACAAAAACACCAACACTTACCCTCACCCATCTCCCTGTCTAACTAAGCCGTGTTTGATCTCTTCTTCAGGGTTTGCCACTAACAGCCACTTCCCTAACTGCGCTGTCGGAGCAGGCCAGACATGGGAGACACGGGCAAAGAAGAGTATAAGATACAGTCATTCGACACCGAGACGCAGCAGTTACTGAAAACTGCTCTCAAAGGTCAGCAAGCACCTGTCTTTCCAGCCCCCATGCCATGGCTTCCATGCCCAGGCTGGCTGGCAGATCATTCCTGAACAACCAGATGCCATTTTGTCTTGTTAACACTGATGGCTCCGAATAGGAGAGCTACGTCAGAAATGCCATTAGGCTGCTGCTTGACCCCCAAGGCCTTTTCCCCACCATGGGTGAGCTCGTGCTGAAACACACAATCTCTACTCCCTGAGATTTAAGGCACAGTTGTCTGAGTTCAATTCCAGATTCTGGAGGGGCGTGTCCTCTAGTGGTTATAATCTTTCTGCTCCTGTGCCCTCAAACTGTCTCTGTTCCCATCCACCGGCCATCCCTCTATTCATTCTCCCCCAATCCCAGATTCTGCTCTCCCATCCTGCTATTATCCCCCCATCCCCCTACTCCTACCCCAGCCTCTGCTCCTGCCCAGTCCCCCCATCTGCTGTCTGTCTCCCCCGTGCTCCGAGTCATCCCTAGCTACTTCCCCATCCCCTTCAGCAAATAATCAACATCCTCCAATCCCAGATTCTGCACTCCCACTCCTCCTCCTTCCCCAATTCCCTTTGCTCCTATCCAACCCCCTACCTTGCCTTCTGCCCCCTCCACCTTTGTGCCTATATATTCTCCCATTCTCCTCCCCTGCCCTCTGTACATCTCTCACCCTCTGGCAACTGCTCCCCTTCTGCTTCTCCCCACCTCTTGCTCCTGCAATCTCCCTTCTTCCCCCTGCCACCCCATTCCTCGCTCCTTTGCATTGCAGTCAGGGTGCTTCCTCCTTCTCCTGGGCCCACCAGCAGGGGGAGCATTGAGAGCACAAGGGAGAGTGTCTCACTGTTCTTAGGTTTCAGAGGGGTAGCCATGTTAGTCTGTATCAGCAAAAGCAACAAGGAGTCCTTGTGGCACCTTAGAGACCAACAAATTTATTTGGGTTATGCCCAAATAAATTTGTTAGTCTCGAAGGTGCCACAGGGGCTCCTCGTTTTTTCCCTGCTCTCAGTTCTTGTGCCTGCTGCCACAGTGGCCTCTGACAGCCAGGAGAAGCAGTTGCAAGGAGAGTCCTGACCAGTCCCTGCAGACCTAGGTTGAAGCGTGCTCAGTGCAGCCAGAATTGGCAGAGAATTTCTCCACACGTTTCTAATGAGCACAGAATCATAGAACTGTAGGGCTTGAAGAACCTCAAGAGGTCATCTAGTCCAGTCCCCAGCGCTCAGGACCAAGTAAACCTAGACCATTCCCAACAGGTGTTTGTCCAGCCTGTTCTTAGAAACTTCCAGTGATCAGGATTCCACAACCACCCTTAGAAGCCTATTCCAGTACTTAACTATCATTATAGTTAGAAAGTTATTCCTAATAGCTAACCTTAACCTCCTTTGCTGCAGATTAAGCCAATTACTTCTTGTCCTATCTTCACTGGACATGGAGAACAATTGATCACCGTTTTCTTTGTAGCAGCCCTTTATATATTTGAATACTGTTAGCAGGTCTTCCTTTAGTCGTCTTTTCTCAAAGCTAAACAAGCCCAGTTTTTTTAACCTTTCCTCAGAGGTCGGATTTTCTAAACCTTCTACCAGTTTTGTAGCTGTCCTCTGGACTTTCTCCAGTTTGTCCACATCTTTCTTAGAGTGTGGAAACCAGAACTGGACACAGCACTCCAGCTAAGGCCTCACCAGTGCCGAGTAGAGCGAGACAGTTGCTTCCTGTGTCTTACATATGATACCACTTTTAATACAGCCCAGAATATTAGCCTTTTTTGCAGCTGCACCACATTGTTGACTCTCAGTCAATCTGTGATGCATTATAACCCCCAGGTCCTTTTCTGCAGTATTCTTGCCTAGCCAGTTATTCCCTGTGTCATAGTTGTGCATTTGATTTTTCCTTCATAAATGTGTAGCTTTGCCCTTGTCTTTACTGAATTTCATCTTCTTGATTTCCGAACCAATTCTCTAATTTGTCAAGATCGTTTTGAATTCTTATCCTGTCTTCCAAAGTGCTATCAACCCCACTCATCTTGGTGTTATCCACAAATGTAATTTATAAGCATACTCTCCACTCCATTATCCAAGTCATTGATTAAAATATTGAATAGTCCTGGACTGACCCCTGCAGTATTACATCCCCACAGTTTAGCAGCAAACCATTGATAACTACTCTTTGGCTATGGTCCTTCTACCAATTTTGCACCCATTTTATAATAATTTTAAGCTAGACCACATTTCCCTCGTTTGCTTTTGAGAATGTCATGTGGGACTGTGTACAAATGTGTGGGTCTGTGCCTCAAAGCATGGAGACCCTATACTACAGCATCTCAACTAAACAGTTGTAGGAAATTTTTTAACATGAGTAAACAACATGTTTCCCCCTAATTTCATTCTTAGAAACAGCTGAACCATTTTAGCTGAAATATTTCAAAAACTTCAGCCTAAGGCAGGCATCTAACATAGAAAATTTCATGTCAAACAGTTTGTTTGGCAAAGCTAGCAGCTGAAAACCAGGTCTTATAATGGAAAGTGTAGGGCAGTGGTCACCAACCGGTCAATCATGATCGACTGGTCGATCCTAGAGGATCTCCCAGTCAATCGCAATCTCCAGTGGTGCAGCAGGGCTGCCACTAAAGCAGGCTCCCTGCCTGCCCCAGCCCCACGCCGCTCCCAGAAGTGGCCAGCGCGGCCCTGGGTGGGAGGGGGGACAGGGGTCTCCCTCCGCATGCTGCCCCTCTCTGCAAGCATCGCCCCCGCAGCTCCCATTGGCCGGGAAAGGGGAGCTGTGGCCAATGGGAGCTGCGGGGGCGATGCTTGCAGAGAGGGGCAGTACGGAGAGCCACGTGCCCTACCCCAGGAGCTGCAGGGGCATGTTGGCCCCTTCCGGGGGCGGCATGGGGCCAGAGTAGGCAGGGAGTCTGCCTCAGCAGCAGCCATGCTGCACCGCAGACCAGGAGCTGCCGGAGGTAAGTGCTGCCCGGCGGAAGGCCACACTCCAACCTCCAGCCGCCCTGAGCCTCCTCCTGGAGCCAGCACCCCATACCCCCTCCTGTACCCCAAGCCCCAGCCTTGAGCCCCCTCCCAGAGCCAGAACCCAAAAACCCCTTCCTGCACCCCCAAGCCCCAGCCCTGACCCCCCTCTGAGCCAGCACCCCGTACCCCCTCCTGCACCCGTGCTCCAGCCCTGACCCCCTCACAGAGCCAGCACCCTGTACCCCCTCCTGCACCCCAACAATCTGCCCCAGCCTGGAGCCCCCTCCTGCACCCAAACTCCCTCCCAGAGCCCACACCCCCTCTTGTACCCCAACACTCTGCCCCAGCCCAGAGCCCGCTCCTGCACCTAAACTCCCTCCCAGAGTATCCCTCGCCCCCTCCCACACTGCAAACCCCTCAGCCCCAGCCCAGAGCCCACTCCCCAACCCCAGCCCAGTGAAAGTGAGTGAGGGTGGGGGAGAGCAAGCGACGGATTGGGGGAATGGGATGAGTGGGATGGGGCTTTGGGAAAGGGGTGGGGCCTCGGGGAAGGGGCGGGGAAGATCCTGAGTTGCCCTTAAATTCAAAAAATGATCTTGGGTGTGAAAAGGTTGGAGACCACTGTTGTAGGGCAACCTTAACTATAGGCAGCGCTAAGGGTGCTGCCTACAATAACTGTAGAATGTGTTTGTGTGTATACATACTACTGCTCCCAGCTGGGTGGAATTAGAACTGGTCATTTGTGTTTTAGGCTCTGTGCCACTAACAAATTCTCCTGTAGGTCAAGTGGCTAGGGCTTCTGCTTTTGACCAGAAGGATCTTAATTCTGTGTCCATTGTCACCATGTAATCTCAGGTGGCCCTGATAGTGCAGCACAGTGACAACTGTGAAGTTCATTGTGGCTTCCAATTATAGGCGTTAACTCTTGCAGCCTCCTGTGAATTAGAGCAGTATAGAATCATAGAAATGTAGGACAGGACATTGTCCCTGTTTTTCAGGTGTGGAAATTTAGGCACGAAGAGGGTAAGTGAGTAGCCCAAGGTCTCACAGAGAATTGGTGACAGAAGCAGGAATAAAGTGCAAATGTCCTGACTCTTGTACCCTTGCTCCGGTCACTCCTCAGCCTGTTACCAGCATCCTCCCCTCATCAGGGGCTTAACAGACACTGCCATATTCATTTGTTTTTCATCCTTTTTAAGCATTTTTTCCCCTTCTGGAAGTTTGGTGTCCTAGGGAAAAGCCCAGGTAGGAGGGGTTGGGGTTGGAGGCCTCATAGGGAAAAGCCAGCCCGGCTTCTCAGCTATAGCATCTGTATTCAAAGCATAATGAAAATTTTCCTATTCAGCTCAAATTTAAACTAGCCCCCTACTCTCACTCTTTTTCCCCTTTCCCCTCCCCTTGTGATGACTGTCTCTCTGCCAAAAAATGCTAAGCACCCTCTGAAGATGCCAGCCCTGATGCAGTCTGTAGGGGGGCTACAGCAGCTGAGTTAATTGTCTCTGGTCCCTGCCAGCCTGGGAGTGAGCCTGAGTTCTTACAGCATGGTAGCTCAACACACTCCCATGTGCACCGTAGCTGCTTTGCTGGTGGTCTGAAGCATGAGCAGGGAGGGTGTGAAGTTGGGAATCTGTGCAGTGTTGGGAAGTGAGTGTGCTGTGCTGACGGTATCATTTCTTTCCCTGCAGACCCCAGCAGTGTAGACCTGGAGAAAGTGGCTAATATAATCGTGGATCAGTCCCTCAAAGACTCTGTGTTCAGTAAGGAGGCTGGGCGCATTTGCTACACCATCATCCAGGTGAGAGGATGTCAGCATGCTGACAGCAAATCCGTAGTGAGTCACAGCCTGCCCTTCCGGATCACAGCTAGTGCTAGTGGGTACCCTGGCATCTCAGCTGGGCCTGCCTCAGTCCTACAGCATTTACAGAGAACTTTTAATCTGCAAAGCACTTTACTAGCACTACTGAGTCATCCAATGCCACCTTCTAGAGGAGTATCATCTCCTTTTCAAAGAAAGGGGAAATTCAGGCACACAGAAGGAAAGACTTGCAAAAGGTCACGCAGGGAATACAACCCAGCACCTCCTTTCTCCCAGTCCTGCATTCTGATCACCAGACCAGCTGCTCTCTGTCTTTGTAAATGTTTTAATGGAGGCTACCACCACTTGCCCCATCTGCCACAGATATGCAGAAATCCAGACCTGCCCCCGTCTGTGAGTGCAGTTTCTCAGGCTGAACTGGAAGAGGGTTCCCTAATCTTGGGGGCAGTGGCCTTCATGGCAGAGGAACTTATCCAGCATATATAAAAGGTTTATTTCCATAAGATCAGGAGTGAGTCTGGCCTATGGAATTCTGCATGCTGGGAGGAGATTCTCTAGCTCCAGTGAAGCAGTGAAATAGAGGATGAGAATGGGAAGGGATGTGCAGGCCATGACAGTAGCCTCAACTCCGCTTGCAGTTAGACTCCCACCAGTCGTCTTTCTCTGTGCAACAATGGGAGTCTGATAATGAGTGATATGTAAAGACGCTAGTAATGTGGGTACCCACATTGTCTCCTCCCCCCCGCTTTCCTCACTGTTCTGGGGTCGTAGGCAGAGAGCAAGCAGGTGGGCCAGAGCATTTTCCGACGGAGTCTGCTTAACCGACTGCAACAGGAGTATAAGGACCGGGAAGAGCTGCGAGCCCGCTCACCCCAGGCATGGATCTGTTACGTCACCTTCATCTGTAACATCTTTGACTACCTGAGGGTAAGGTGCCTATGCAGAGGACACCCCTATCTGCTGCCTTATGGCTAAAGAAGATCTAAACCAAACCCCTCCAGAGTTAGGGGCCAGAGTTTGGAACCTGGAGTGAATTCTGAATTTTGTGGCTAAACCCAAAAATCTTGATTCTGAACTCCTTACTCTGAATGCAGATCCCCAGTCCACACAAAAACATTACAGTTCAGGCTCTTCACTATTGTTATGTTGCCCTCTGCATATTGGAGACCATTGCTTGCTGTTCCCCTTATCAATAAAGTAGGGGATGAAGGAAGAGTTGTTGGTATATAGAGCTGAGCAAATAATTCTTAATAAACAAACTTTGAACAAATTTAGCATCCCTCACAGCTCCTGGAACAGGTGCACACACCTTTATTTGTTGGTTGGCACACACTTTTTGGAGTTCTTTGCTCCAACTGATCTCTAAATTCAAGTCTTGTTGCTTAATTGCAATTGGTTGGGGAAGTTCCATGGTATTATTTCCTGTTCCCTGACTGGACGAGTGCTAAAGCCCTCCCGGCATGCATACTGAAAATAGTTTTCTGGGAGCTTTGTGGTCATAGAACTCATGGGCTCAGATACTGGTAGGCAGTGAAGGCGAAAGGACTGTGAACACATTTGAAATGTGGGAAAAAAGCATGGGTGTAGTGAATTAATTTTAAAATATAACCAAATATTTTTGGAAAATGTGTATTTTTGCATCACTGTCCCATCTCTGTTGGTACCTTTGCCCCATGCAAAGATCCCTGGTCCTCTGGCTAAGAGAGATGTGTCTATATGGTCTCTTAGGCAAATCCTGCTAACAGGAGCTCTGAGCCAGAGTGACACTGTGACTGGTTTCCAGGGGAGCAGTTCCCGTCCCATTTGAGAACAGTGAAGGAACAATTCTTTAAAAATAAAACTCTTCCTCCTCTACCCATGAGCTGATATGTGCATCCGTCCCATTAACAGGTGAACAACATGCCCATGATGGCGCTGGTGAACCCAGTTTACGAATGCCTGTTCCGACTGGCACAACCTGATAGCCTGAAGAAGGAGGAGGAGGTGAGTGCTGGTGGGACGCTAACATGCAAGGAGAGTTTGTACAGCCAAGTGACTGGCAAAAATACTGTCCTGTGAGGGCTGCTCAGAAAGGTTTGAACTGATGTCTGGACCAAAAGGGAGGCATAAAGCCAAACAGAACTTATTTTTCCCTCGTACCTATTGTAAGTGGGGTGGGGGTAGGGAACAAGGGAGGCTTGTAAGGTGGGACGTTCCTTGCAGCCCCAGAATGGAGGAATTATGGAGGTGCTGGTGCATCCATAATTATGTTGCAGCCAAGGTTCCATTCTCCTCCCTCATTCCAAACATTTTTAGTTCAAGCTCCAGATCTGACTGTGGCTGATGTAGCTGTGCAGTGATCAGAGCCTCTGAATGCCAAAAGCACTGAAACAACCAAAGGACTGTTATAAAGTTCATAAGCCACTGGACATGAATTTTGCTTTTGCTTTGATGTTCTCCCTGGCATCCTACCACAACATACCCTTCAAGCACTCAGCCTTACCAGCATCCTGCTCATAGCACAGGTGCTGCTGTTCCTTGTTAGTTGTGAGAGCAACCACCATATGGTCAAAAGAATCCAAATCACCCTGGAAACAGAGCATGGTTCAGACAGTTCTGTCTGTTCTATTCAGGTGCTTACACTGCACCCATTGAAGGAGCTCTGAGGAAATGCTGATCTAGCTTTTGCCACCTGCTGGGACCCTCAGTATGAGTTGATGCAGGTCTAATGGTGTGAATTGCTGCCAGCATGTTTCTTCAGTAATTTCATGTGTGAAGCTGTGGGATCTCATGGAGACACCTCTTTCTGAGAGAGCCCCCTCCAAGCAGCTATCAATATTCAGGTTCCTAGTCACTACCAGAGATTGATGGCAACAAAGAGTAGATGTAGTAGAAATATAGGGGAACAGGGTGGGGAGAACCAGCCTGGATTAATTTAGAGGTGCTGGGGCAGGAGCTCTATTTAGAAACATCATAGGCCCACACTCCATCTTAAGGTGGCCTTTTCCTTTCCTCTTTTAAGGTGGACTGTCTGGTGCTGCAGTTGCACCGCATTGGTGAACAGCTGGAAAAGATGAACTCCCAGCCAATGGATGAGCTCTTCTCCCTTCTGCGAGATGGTTTTCTTCTGGAGGAGGGGCTCAGCTCGCTCTCTCAGCTCCTGTTGCTGGAGATCATAGAGTTCCGGGCTGCAGACTGGAAGATGACAGATGCAGCTCAAAAATACTATTACAGTGAAGTCACAGATTAAACCTTCCACAGCCAGAACTCTCACCCAGGGGCTCAAATAGTTTCACCCTGGCACTTTCACGAGCAAACGTCACAATTATGTTTGATATTTTTAAGTTAACATTTTTTCTAATGCTTTTTCTAAATAGGATTTATATTGTTTACTCCCAGTAGACCCTTTGTACTGTGTCTGCTGGACTGCAACAGGGGACAGTTTGATTTGGGGGCAAGGGCAGTTTTAACCTAGTCAGAGCTTCCACTCTCTTTACCTATGGCCCATGTTAATTAATGCCTCTCAAACCATTTTACAGTAGCAGTCAGGAAAGCACAGCCAATGGTTTATACTGAGGTCAGCTCTTTTGTATCAACTCTGTCAGCCACCAACCGAGTTAAGACAAGTGGAAGGAAAAGCTTTTGCAGCTTATTTAGAAAACTCCCCTCTTTGCTGCTTATGCCACATGGAATCTGAGCCCATAACACACAAACCAAGTTTTAAAAACAGTCCTCCAGGATGAGTCTCACCTTGTTCCCTGTGAAATCAAGGGCCCTTTACATGGGCAATCAATTATTATTTCTCCCAACCCTGCCCTCTGGGAGGCTGGGTGCCTATGGAAAGCAGAAGCAACACCTGCTCCTGGAGGAAGGAGACACCACCCAGTGTACATCCGTCATAGCAGCAATTTCCTTGAGCACATGTAGCTAGAAACTGTTTTTATGAGTTTTATATAGTAACCACTATGGAATTTTTTTTTCTAAAAAGCAATGTAATGAACTTCAATATTGTACATTTCTGTTGACAAAAGGGACAGGTAAAGGGGAAATAATGTGTTCTATTGAGGTTTTTTCTAATAAAAGTTTTACACTAATGAACACCATGTTTTCTCTCTCCACAGAGCTCTTGCTCTGTAACATTTCTAGGGAGTTGGGCTACTATGGAGGCAGCTACAAACAGGGCATGAAGATCTCTTCTGTAAGATTGCCATGTGTTAGTTTTCCTCTAGTACAGAGTGGCACAGTTGCTTGTGAGCACAGAATTAGATTTTTAAATCAAAACAGAGGCCAAAATTTGTGGTACTGAATTCTTCCCCATCCTCCTCCTCAAACTAATCAGTCTTTCCTTTGCAGTGAGCAAAAGTGCTCTGTGCTTTCTAGCAAAGTACAACAGGTACAGAAGTGCTAGCAGCTCTTTTACAGGACAAGAGAAGGATTTCAACTCTGTCTAGCAGAGTGTAGGTGGGAAGGCATCTCCTAGAGAATAACCCTTCCTTTGGCTGAGCTGCTGGAGGGCTGAGAAATATTGCTGCTCTGGTAGAGTGATGGGCATCAGTACAAAACCCTAAGGCAAACAGCCACCACTAGAATATGGTGATAGTCAAACTGAGGATGATAGAGAGGTTCCATTTTTATTTTCTCATTAACATCCAGGTCACATGTGCTCAGTCAAACAATGATTCTGCTAACAGACAGTATTGCAACAATCTAAAATTCAAACTGGGCTCTTTTCTGTCTCTAGCATTGATACACACAAAGAACATTCACAATACATTCCAGCTTGCTCACCCTTGGTTTGGATGCTAACGAGCAAAAACTTGTTTGTCATGTGAGTAGACTGACTTGAAGACATCCCCTCCCCTGCTCTCAGAAAGCAGGTACATGGAGGAAAGAGGAAATTTTATATGGTGTTGCTCAGAAAAATATCTAAAGGAAAGGAAGCTTTTATGGGTGCATTTTTCATCTTGATTTTTATCTGCTTAAGGACCCAGCCTAGAAGCAGTTAACAGCAGCTGGCAGACAACCTCCCCTATACATCATCTCTCCAGAAAGTAGACGGAGGCTACTTCTTCACAGGTCTGGGCTCCACAAGTACAGGAGCGTGACTAAATGTTTTTGTTGTTGTAAGGCAAGGTCTCTCTCGCTCTTAGGGGATCCCCTACCACCAGCGATAATGGGCATACGCCCGGTTAGCCTCGGCCATCTTGTGCATGTCATGCTTTCTCTTGATCACAGGGCCCTCATTATTGAAGGCCTGCAGCAGTTCCTGGGATAGTTTTTCATGCATGAATGTCCGATGATGCTTATGTTCCCTGCATTCAGTAATTAACCACTTCATGGCCAGGAAGCGTTTCCGATTGTCCTTCAGGGGGCTTGGGACCTAGCAGACATTCAAGCAGTAACACGGTTAAAAATGCCTTACCTCACAATAGGACCATATGCTGAAATACCTTTTTTCAATTGTTTAACACTCCCAGGTGATTAAAAAGAAAGTGACTGCTGTTGAGGGGGTGGGAAGAAATTAACTCTAGCCAAGAATGAGTGAGTTTAGCACTGGTGAAACATTCCACTCCGACTCCAGCAGCAGCAAACTGTCTGCCTCTGTCAATCCACAGATCAGGCGCAGCAGGCAGCATTTGTCTCAAACCTGCCCAAGAGCAGTAGCAGTGTTGGGACTAGAGGGAAGTTCCATTTTGTTCTTGGCCTCATTGCAGAGACTGCCACTTACAGACTGGTTTTTGCGATGTAGACTCTTGTCTATGGGAACTTGACCAAGATATTTCCTGCAGGTCTCTGATCAACCAGCAGAGGGCAGGTTTCAGAGTAACAGCCGTGTTAGTCTGTATTCGCAAAAAGAAAAGGAGTACTTGTGGCACCTTAGAGACTAACCAATTTATTTGAGCGTGAGCTTTCGTGAGCTACAGCTCACTTCATCGGATGCATTACAGCAGAGGGCAGTAATTTATTGGCTGGATAGGAGGTTGGTGAAGCACTCCATATTTCATTAACAATCCCATGGGTTATCTAGGTGCATTTACCTAATTAGGAAAGCTGAAGAGACAGCCTTTGTCCAGGCTTTACATAAAACAAGGTATCTATATGAACCTTTTCTATTTGCTAACCTGCCTTCTGCAGGGGCTAAACTGCTCTGCTGTTTCTACACAGAGGCAGCATGGTCTAGCCGATAAGACATTGGCTTGGGATTCCAGAGACCTGGGGGGGGGGGGGGGGGGGTTCTTGGCTCTGCTACTGGTATGTTGAGTCACCTTGGACAAGTCATTTCACCTCCCTGTACCTCAGTTTCCCCTCCCGCACTTTATCCATTCAGATTGCAAACAATTTGCGGCAGGAACTCTCTCTAATTATGGGTAAGTTCAGCACTTACAGACCCCAGCTAAGATCAGAGCCCAAATGTGCCATTATAATACAGATGATAATAAAATGGTACTTCCAAGGAAAATGCAAGCAAGTTTTCGGAGGGGTGGGAAAGACACTGGTAGTTTTGCCCCCTGTCCAATTCTTTCTATCCTGGGCTGGTCTTCAGGTCCCTCTCGTGTTTACCTGGTAGGTTTTGCCTCCTTTCTGGATGTTGCAAAGTCCAATGATGGGCTGGCAGTTTTTCAGTGCCTGATGGAAGACGATGTAAGGGTTGCACTCAATACTCTCCCTCTCCTCCTCAGAGGCTTGATGGTATTTCTCAATCTGCTTCCTCTTAATGGTTTCTAGGGTCTAAATACAAACACAAGGAAACATGCCCCGGCACCTCAGTGTACAGAGTGAAGTTAGAATCAGGATAATTTCAGACACACCCTCCCCTTCATTTGAGAAATCTGGACCATGGAGGATTCCACCCTGCTACACCTTAAGTAAGCCAGTAGAGAGTGCTCTTGAGCAACTACAGGTTTTACTCAATCCTCTCACCTCCTTACCCCAGATTTCCACACACAGACACATTCCCTTGCTGGAGTCCAGTCCTCACTGGTTTTCCCTCTTATAGCCCGTTGGTGGGTGTGAAGTGTAGCAGTGATCACCAACAAATGGGGGGTAGTAGAGAGGCGATAAAGCACTACTGCCCTCACTCTCACCTTACAACTACCTATTAGATTTTCCCAAGATGCACTTCTACCTCCTCAGCGTATCAGTTACACCAGTTTACATATCATACGATTATGCTGCATTCACCAATTTTCTGGTCAACTTGTACCCACCATCCAACACATACTGACCGTGCAACACACACTGCCCTTTACAGCACCAGTGGATGCCTCCTAAATCAGGAATCCTGAAGCCCATTAAGTTGGGGCAGTTCGGTACTGAAGAAATTAGAAGGCTTCTAGACTTCAGCTCTACATCAACTAATAGCCAAAGGAAGGCAGCCTGGTTCAGTGAACTGAGTTGAGGATACCCTGAGAGGCAGGACACCTGGTTCTGATGCCTGGCTTTGCCCCAGTTGTCTTGTCTGATTTTAGGCAAGTCACTTGACTTTTCTGTATCACAGCTACCACCGGTAAAACTGGATAATGATATCCCCCTTCTTTGTGAAGAGATTAAAGATCCTCAGATAAAGAGTGCTAAATAATAATATTATAGAAAGGAAGTATCCACCTATTAGTGTTGCCCAACACTTCTCATAATACCACTATTTTCAGTTGCTTATAACTTGGCCAAATTTCAACTCTTTGGGCTGACATTTTCCATGCTGGGTGTCTGCCTCAGCATGAATTTTTTGGGGAAATTTTTATCCAGAACAGTTCTGAAAGCGATGCTAGGGAAAAAACATTTTGTACATGTTAAAAAATTCTTGCAATCTTTTCTTTAAGCTCTAGTTCCCCCTTGCTTTGGAACAAGGACTTCAAATTTGGAAGGTGGGTGGTCTTTGTGTCAGGGATGTGCTTTTTGCAATCCCTGTGAAAATTCACCCAAATGTGGCCAGTTTATAAACCACTGAAGAAAACTGCAGTTTGCACCTGCTCAGTAGATACTAGCTAGAGCTTAGCAGCTAGATTCCATCTGCAGTAGGCATGCTCCATCCCAAGGCTGAGTAAGACTTTCACTGCAATTGCAGCTCTGTGCCTCTGCAGTCTGTGCCAGTGATGGGCATCAGAACTGAAAGCAGGGAGCATGTCTCTCCTGTATTCTCAATGACCCTCCTACTTGGCCCAGGTAGCATGAAGAAAGCTACCCGATTTGATTGTAGAGGGGACAAACTCTGCACAGGCAACCTTACTTCCGGCATTTCTGAGTGATTCCCTTGGCAAGTTTAATAAGGTTATTTTAATGCTGTTTTTTGGCATGTAATATTTAAACACGAAGAGAGTCCAGGCCCCTCACCTGTGTAACGATGGATCTGGCCAGCACTTTGTTTCCTCCCTTCATCATCATGTTGGTGAATTTACTGCAAGCATAAAACCAAACATGATATAACTGGAACTTTGGTTCCATCACCAGAGGTCCCTAATTGTGTTGTTCCTGTGATTAAATCCTATCCCTGCTAGATTTTGGGTGGCTGTGCTCATCTTTAACCACTATTATTCAATGGATCTTTTTCATGGAAAGAGATTAATCAAAATAAAGGGATTACACAGAGTAACAGGAAGGCAATGGGCAGCCAGGTAGACAAAGGCTGATTGGGGGCAGGGAGGCACTGCAATGGCTTTACTTCTCAGCAGTAGTGGGCTCAGAAGCAGAGCACTCAATTACTCCATCCATTACATTGTTTCATAATAAGAGCTATTTATTCAAATATAAACAGCAAATCCCTATCCAGATAAAGAGAGCTCACTAACAAACCTCTGCATCCAACTCATCTGCTGCCCTCATTCTGAAGAGGGGAAGAGAGAATTCTGTGGACATGATCCTATTAGGAGCTGACCTCTAGCCATCCGCCAGGGTTGTGGCTGCTCAGCACTTCTGAGCAAGGAACCCAGTCCTGCTCCCATTGAAGTCAATGGCAAAACTCCCAGTGACTTCAGTGGGAGCAGGATCAACTGTCCATGATCCTTGGGAGACAGCTGGTGTAACAGCTTTCTGACCTGATTGTAGGGTCACTGAACACAGAGCTGGTGACATTAGAAGGGGTAGCTTTTATAGGCTGGAGG